AAGAACATTATCCCATTCTTTTAGGTTTTTTTTGGTTAGGTTTTGGAATAGATTTGATGATTTGAAAGTGGTTTGATAGAATTTCGTTAGGGTGATTGGTAGATTGTGATTTTGATAGGTTAGGATTGTGATTTTGTTAGGATATTTTGTTGTATTGATTTGATTTGTAAATTTTTCTAAAGTTTGTTGTATTGATTTGATTTATTAAAACGTTTTTATATAAAATCAGTTTTGGATTTATAAAAGATATTTATATTTAGTAAACTATTTTTCAGATTTATTAAAATTATTTTCAGATTTATTAAAACTATTTTTGTATTTATTAAAACTATTTTTGGATTTATTAAAACTATTTTTGGATTTCTAAAAACTTTTTTGGATTTATAAAAGATTTTTATATTTAGTAAAAGTATTTTTGATTTATTAAACTATTTTCGGATTTATTAAAATTATTTTTTGATTTATTAAAACTGTTTTTGTATTTATTAAAACTATTTTTGGATTTATTAAAACTTTTTTGGATTTATAAAATATTTTTATATTTAGTAAAATTATTTTGTTGATTTAAGAAACTATTATTGGATTTATTAAAACTATTATTGATTTATTAAAACTATTTTTAGATTTATTAAACTATTTTTGATTTATTAAACTATTTGTAAAAGATATTTGTATTTCTTTTTATTTTATTTAAAATAAAATATTTTTTTTTTAAGTTTTGCAGGTCGGGTAGCGATAGCCAGACGAGACCTCGCCGCCACACACCACGAGGTCGAGGTGGTTCTCGTGGTGGTTCGACGGGCACCTCTCGTGGTTCTGCATCTTCGCATAACCAATATCTCAGGGATTTTCCTTCTGTTCCAGCTCCTCTGGTCATTCCGGGTACCATGACTGTTGAACAATTGGTTCAACAGTCTGGTCGAGAGCATCTTCTCGTTCTCACTCCGCATCCAACGGGCTCACACCAAACATGGTTATAATTTTTTTAAATTTAACTTTTTCATTATATGTTGCTTGATGATTCTTATTTTTTTCTTTTTAGGTTCGATCGGTCGCAAAACGGGATAAGCTCCTTCATAAATCGGATGATGTACTCGGCCTTCAAAAAAGGGTTATCTTACCTACACCTTCTTCCCCCTCAAGGATCAGGAGATGTGGTTCAGTCAGTTTGCGGTATGTATTTTACATTTTTTTAAGTTGTATTTTTAATCTTTGACTTAAATTTCTACTAATTATGTTTATTTTTTTCAGCAAGAGTTCAACTGGAATCCCCTCCATACGTCCTTTATCGAAAATGCCTTCACCCATAAAGTCATGGAGAATTATGGGAAGCATGTTTATGAGTGGAAGCAAAAGTGGAAGAAGGGAAAGAAACCGAAATTGATCAACGACACGGTGTGGCTCGAGTTGAAGGCACATTGGGGGAAGACGGAGACGCAAGGAACCTCTGACACCAATTCCAGCAACCGCAACAGTGACCGTGGCGGGAAGGGTCGGTACAAGAACAACTTGGGTGCTTGCAGTATGTCAACTCTTGGGGATAAGCTAGTAAGTCGACTGATTTTCTTTACCTATTTCATTTTTTCCATTTTAATTTCAATTTTTAATGCTTTTATTAACAAATGCTTTCTTTTTTTCAAGCGGAACAGAATGATGGTGAGCCGTTGACTCCCTCGTGCTAATGAGGGAGGCGTATACCGACAAGAAGACCAGAGAGATTTCATAAGCCGTTGTGAGGGAGGTGATCGACTTGGTTGAAACCCTGAAGGAGGAAGAGATCCAACGCCTATCTCAGCTTCAGTCTGACGAACCCTGATCGGCACTACTGCTGCTTCCACCAACCTGTCTCGAGTTCGAATCAACGAACTAGTTGAGTCAGTAAGATCTTTATTTTAATTTACAATTTAATTTTTACTATTTTTTTCATTTCATCGTCTGTTTCACTGTTTTAATTTAATGTTTTTTTCTAGGTGGTTCCTAAGAAGAAAGGCCGTTTGTTCGGGTTGGCTCGTCGCTCCAAGTCAGTTCCTTCTACTTCAGAACCGGCTTTTGTTGATCCGGTAATTATGGAGCAGCTACAGAACAAGGATGACCGCATCGTAGCATTGGACAACCAGAACGCCACAATTCTTACCCAGAAAGAGACAATACTTGCTAGGATGGCAGATCAGAAAAATGAAGTGGAGGAAACGAAGAAGAAGAACCAAGAGTTGTTGGATATGATGCGACGTTTGTTCCCGCAGGAGTTCTAGTCGGTTGTTTTATTATAATATGTTTTTATTTTAGATTTAGTTTTATATTTTCAACTAATTATTATATAAATATTTTTAAAAAATAAATTAATTATTATATATTATTATTTTTTTAAAAAAAAAATTGGAATTTCCGAGGAAGTACGTCCCTCGGAATATTCCAACGAAAAGTTTCGTCGGAAGATTCCGACGGACCGGTCCTCGGGAAATTCCGATGAAGCTAGCTGTCAGAAATTTCCGAGGAGGTTAAATCCTCGGAACATTCCGACGGCTACGTCCATCGGAATATCCCGAGGACTGATCCATCGGAATATTCCGAAGAAACTTCCAAGGGACCTCTTCCAACGATTTTGTCCGACGAAGCATCCACAGGGATAATCCGATGACCGATCTTCCTCGGAATTTCATCAAATTATATGTCCGTCAGAAGTCGACGGAATTTTCTCGGTGTCTCTGACGAAATTCCGAAGAAATATTTTTTTCTGACGACGTTTTTCCTCGGAATGTCGTCAGAATAGACGTATTTCGACGACATTCCGAGGAAAATGATCCTCGGAATGTTGCTGTTTTCTTGTAGTGTCTAATCACTAAAACCTACATTCAAATATAAATCCTAATCTAAATATAAATTCTAAACCCATATAAAATGAAACAAAATAAATAGAATAGTACATATTGGTTAAATTATGAAATGTCTATTATTTCATATAAAAAGTTAATGATGACCCTACCCTCAATCTCGACCTTCCAAATACTAAACCCTAAACCATTATCACTAAATCCTAAAACCCAATTATAAACCCTAAACCCAAATACAAACCCTAGACACTTATCACTAAACCCTAAACACAAATATAAACCCTAAACCCCAATCATTAAACTCAAATCCTAAACACAAATATAAACCCAAAAATCCAAATAGAAAAATGTGAAAATAGAATAAAATATTTTGTAATATTAAACTATACTATATAACTAGGAATTATAGAATATATTTTCGAATTAGAAATTGGAAAGAACATTTTTCCAAATAATCAAAAATTTTGGAAGAAAAGATAGTGGCGATGATGAAATAATGGTATTTCTATTCAATATTTTCTAATAGAGAAGAACATCATAATTTCAGAAATTGTTTACACGTGAAAGTATAAGTACACTGAATATGATAAATAGAATTGAATAATATAAGTTGATAACGAATTGACAAATAAATGTTATAAACTGGAATATTCTGTATAATTGAAATTACATATACACTGAAACATGCAAAATAGTATAGAACTATGTAAAGAATAAAAGATTGTGTTCAAAATAGTATGGTACCCTATACAGTAACTTTCTTTCACTAAATATAGTATAGACGATGTGTCTATCTTCTTCACTTCTTCTTCAGACATGTATATACACATTCAGTTGGCCTATCGTCAATAATCTTGTCGTCGCTTCAGTTTCGTCTTCCTCAAGACAGTCGATTTTAGAATCCAAAAAGCCTCACCTTTTCCTCAACGCATGAGCTTTCGAAAGTGTTCTTCTCCTCCACAATACTTCATCATACACCAATAAAAAGAACAATGCATTTATAGTACATCGATTCTATATACAACACTTATGTTTAATATTCATAAATTTTGCCAGGTGTGATATGAAATGTAATTTAGAGCATATGGTCTATTTTAAGTTGAGGACTATATTATGTAGAATGGTGCATTGTAGAGTCGACAAAAGAAACGATGCAATTACATTCAAAGTACTATAATATATTGAGTGATAAAGTTTTGTTTCATATAACCAAAATAGTATATGACACTATCCCCTTCTCAACCCCTGAATAGTAAATCCTATAACATAAATGTCCGGATATAATAGAATAGTAACATACAAAGATAGTATAGTAAAACAAATCCGCAAGACAGCCAAAACAACACAAAGAAGATGACTCAAAGAGACACGGGACAAGCATAGTAATTCAGAAGTAGACAAAACAAAGAAAAATGTTTTAAACACAATTAATTTATTTTTTTTTGCGGGAAGAAGGAGGAACACAACGCAACATAAATTAATTGTCGGACTTCTCATAAGTAGATAAATAGTAAAGAGGATAATGTCATCAATAGAAACATATATTCAGATTTAGAGCAACGAATCAGGGACCCATAACTTACAACCGGCGAAAGTAGTTTCAGAAATGACTAAAGTGAATGAGAACCAGAAATGGCTGATCCAACTCGCCACCGCTCATGTTACTTTAACGCCTCCTTTCTTGTTTTAGAAATCAGCAAAAAGTCAGAATGATTCTGTGATGATACCAGTTGAATTGGGGATGAAGGCGTTAGAAATCGGTGACCAGAAATTATAATCAATTATTCATTTTCTATTGGGGAAGAAGATAAAGTAATTTTGAGAAAAAGTGACTTACCAACAGATACTAGTAACTTGACAATAGTAAAATTGATTGTTTTTATATTTCTTTTATGAAAGTATTAGACCATAATATGACAGTATTAGACCATAATATGTGTTGAACAAAAAAAAAAAGACCATAATATGACAGTATTATATAAAAGAGAAGATGTGTATTGGTGAGATAAGGATTTTTGTCATTGAGCCAATAATAATATGTTTGAAGGTTTTTTTTTCTTTTTGAACAACAATATGTTTGAAGATTATACAGAGTAATTTCCCATATTTAAAGTAGATGAAAAAGACAAGTAAAAGACTAAAGACCTGTTACTAATCAACGATTCTGAAAACCAGTGTTATACTTTGATTTTTACACTTTGACTTTGAGTATTCTTAATCACAAAGACCACTATCTTCACCAACTCTCCATTCCTTTTCCTTCCTCTTCGTAGAGAAAGAGACAGAACCAGAAGCAGAGAGGCCATGTCGATATCTGTACACTCCTCCGCCATCACCACCAATCTAACAACTACAGTATCATACCTGTCCAAAACCTCCACTCGCTCTTTCCCGCGCCGTCGGATTGGCTCTGTGAATTGTTCGATGGAAATGACGACGGAGACTGATCGGCTGGTGAAGCTGAAGAACGGAAATGACTCAATAGAGATATGTAGAGTTATCAACGGTATGTGGCAGACGAGCGGAGGATGGGGCAAGATTGACCAAAACGCGGCCGTTGAGGCAATGATCCGTTACGCTGATGCTGACCTCTCCACCTTCGACTTGGCCGATATCTGTAAGTATCTACAAGCTTAAAGATTAACGAAGTGAAAAAAAAAAGAAAAAGAGATTACAGAGTTTTGATATCAGAAGACTTGAACTGAAATACTCAGTTTTTGTTGATGTTTTAGATGGTCCTGCTGAAGATATTTATGGCATTTTTATCAATAAGGTTCGTCGAGAACGTCCACCAGAATATTTGGAAAAAGTTAAAGGGTAAGTTGTCAAATATAATGTGCAGAGATCAAAACTTAATTGGAAGCCAAGCCATTTTATATAAGATGACATGGCTGTGCAGTTTGACAAAATGGGTCCCTCGTCCAGGGAAGATGACAAGGAGCTATGTTCGTGAGAGCATCGACGTATCTCGGAAGAGAATGGATGTGGCTTCTCTTGATATGCTTCAGTTTCACTGGTCCTTCTTTTTCTCTCTTCTTATAATTTTTTCTGTATTTTTGTTTATATAAAACTAAAATGCTTAGCTGTTTCTGTAGTTAACCATATTTACTCTGTGTAATGCATTGTTCACTGTTATTATTTTGCTAATCTGAGGTTTTGGAATAGGTGGGACTATGCGAATGACGGTTATCTTGATGCACTGAAACACCTCACTGACCTTAAAGATGAAGGTAAGTTATAAGAGAGGTTATATCATTCAATTTATCCATCGGCTTGCTTAAATAATACTTGGTTGCAGGTAAAATCAAGACTGTTGCTTTGACAAACTTTGATACAGAGAGACTTGAGAAAATCTTAGAGAACGGAATCCCTGTTGTTAGCAATCAGGTGATGTTCGAATTGCATCTACCTTTCTTTTTTTCTTCTTGCAAGTTCCTTTGTTCATGTGGATATTCATTACAGGTGCAACACTCCATTGTAGACATGCGTCCTCAACAGAGAATGGCTCAGCTTTGCGAGCTTACAGGCGTCAAACTTATAACGTATAATCTCTTTCTTCTTAACTGTCTTCGGAAATTTTGTTTGGTTTCCTTCCTCTTAACAACTGACTTGATCACACACCACCATTTCATTGGTCTTTTGGAGTGTAGATATGGGACGGTAATGGGTGGTCTACTGTCAGAGAAGTTCCTAAATGCCAATCTAGCAATCCCTTTTGCTGGCCCTAGTTTGAATACTCCTTCTCTCCAAAAGTATAAAAGGGTATGTGTTCCAAATCCTATTTACAGATTAGCCTTATCAATGAGTTTTTATGGTTCATCATTACAGAATCATCCTACTGTTTACTTTTTTGAGATTCTTGAGAGTGTAACATTACTACAGATGGTTGATGCATGGGGAGGGTGGAATCTATTCCAAGGTTTGCTTCGAACGATGAAGAGCATTGCCACAAAACATGGTGTCTCTATTCCGACAGTGGCCGTCAGATACGTACTAGATCAGGTATTTCGACTCTTCTTCCTTACATCACATGGATTGTTCCTGACTCTTAAGGCCAATCTGGTTTATGATTTGTTCTGAAATTTTGAAATCTCATTGCAGCCAGGAGTTGGTGGATCAATGATTGGGGTGAGACTGGGATTGGCGGAACATATACAAGACGCTGACGCTATATTCTCGTTGGTATTGGATGATGAAGATGTTAATAGCATACAAGAAGTTACCAAGAAAGGTAAAAATCTTCTCCAAGTGATTGGTGACTGCGGAGATGAATATCGAGGCTAATGATTTGGTAGTAGATATTTATTGATATATTCTTTAGTATCAACTATCAAGTTATGAAATTACAGTTCCATATACAGAGAATCTTTTTTTTTTACATTAATAAGACTTCTCTGGGTGGTAATGATTCCAACCGAGTCAGGGTCAAAACTTTGTAGCCTTGGAGGCTTTGACTATCTGCATGATTTGTTTCGTTTTCGCTTATGTTAAATTATATAGGTATGGTTTTATTTACTTCAGTACTCAAACACTTCAGTTAAAAAAAAAAAAAGCATTTCAGTTAGGACTCACAAGTTTCATTGGGCATATAACTGCATAAGATTAGATTTAAAAAGTTGTTGATAGTGAAGCCACCATGTTTGAAAAAAATATTTTTGATGAAAAGGTGAATATCAATCACCAAGTACTAACAATGAAAGCTGCATTCAGAACCAAACAAAACTGTATACGTAGATCGAATTCACCAAAGTTATTGACCAAGCCGACGGATGGGTTTACGGATGGATTCTCTTTTCGGCTATTCAAATGAAGTTAAGAGCATAGTATCATATCCGTGTGGCCACAGGATATAATATGGGAGTTGCATTAAACCCGGATCGCTTAGCTCCCCAAAGTTTGTCTACCTCTAGATGACTCCCATGCGTTTAAGTTTTCCACTTCCTTTGCTTATAAATGACATGGATGGAACCACTAACGCATTGAACTTCCATAAATATGCAAGCAACTTCGACCCTTTTATAACTACCAAATATACAACTTTAAAAACAAAACACAATATGTTAAGAAGCAAATTACTGAATCAAAAGCTCAGATAAAAGATTAACGGTCAATGTTGTTACAATATCTAAAAAATACTCTGGTTCATTCACTAAGATAACGACCAATAGTAAAAATAAGCCTCATAAACCTCTGAAACTTCTGAATAACTTTGGAAGAGGATTCATCATTTTCTTCATTCAAACCTCTGAAACTTCTGAATAAGTTATCAATACATCCCAAAGTGATATCCTCTCCAGAGATTTCCCAGACAGTTTCAAGTGGTAAAGCTAGAAAAGTGAAGAGAAGATCGACAAAATCTGATCCACATTCAACACAGAGAACCTTCCTATTCAGTTTTCTAACAAATACTTTCAAAGTTATGGTCTGATCTGGCCCTGCTCCAGATTCATGCACAGTTGGACTTACTGGTTTAAGAGATCTGGTCATGCGCAGTGAGCTTTGCTTCCTCAGAAAAGTGTCGGTTAATGGACAATCCGAGGTAAATAAACATTCCAGCAAATTGAGTACCTGTGATCAATTATCACACAAACAAAACATTCAAGAAAATGTAATATATATAAAAACGACAACCTTAGTATAATGACAAAAATACCTCACTGAAACCAACATCGAGAAGTATTTCACCGAGCTTGTTAGCATTTGGATAGCCTATGCCCCTAAGAGTATTTAGCACATAATCCATAGAACTCGACGCCACTTTCAGATCATCTGTAATGATGAACAAAGAAGCGTCACACCTAACAAAAACTCCATTATCATTTCGAGATATCCTTTCTTTGTCGACTTGAATCTCCCGGCTCAACAATCCTCTGACAATCTTGGAGTTCGGAATACCCCGACACTCACATTCCTCAGTGTTCGAAATGCTATAAAGGTTTTCGTGGCATTGGCTATAGCCAAAACCTCCACAAACAAAGTACTTGATAGCCTCGGTGTCATCTACTCTCAACTTAATCTTCATGTACTTTTCATGATTCACACTCCTGGGAAAGAGTAGTATTTGCTTACATGCTTCTGTCTGAAAATTCTCGAGACCCATGTCTGAAACACTTTTGTAAAGATTATTAAAACATCCTACAACCACTTGAGGCGAAGTTCGATGTTTCTCAAGCAATCTGACAATAGTGCCCATTGGTAACGTGAGAAAGCTAAATAGCACATCAACAAAATCTTTGCCAGCTTCAGCCAAGACAACCTTGTTCTTCTCTTCATCTATTAGAAGTCTCAAGCTTAGCTTTGTCTTCTCTGAACTTTCAGCCATTGGAGATTTCCTGAGAGAGAGAGGAATAGCAAACGTTTTGAAGCTCAGCAATTTCGATATTGAAAATTTAACCCTAAACAAAAAACCGTTGAGATTCCCCTTCTTTTCAACATTTTCTTGTATGTTAAAATAATCATTTTCTAGTTTTTTCAATAGCTTATTAGTCAATGACGTTTCCAATTTCCAATGGATCTACCTTTATGGTAAACAAGGAAGAATGTTGTTTTGGAATCTTCAGTTGTCTATGTGCAATTACATTGTTTTGTTGATTAATGATTATAGCTGAAACAAATTAGTGTTAGGTGTAGACATAGAAGCATACATAATAATTGTAAAAAAAATGAGCGAAGTAATAAAAAATTAACACATAACCACAATTTTATTAAATAAATAAAATCTCACCTTCTAAGGGTCCGACTGGTTTCCCCGCTACCACCCGCAAACGTAGCTTTTGCGGTTGATGGCGGTTGCTAGCGTTTTGCAACAATCACAAAAACCGCTACAAATCGCTTCAAACCGCTCCCAACCTCTTAAAATCAAAAGCTGGTTTCAGCTATCGTTTGCGGGCGATTGCGGGTGGGTAAAAAACTTTTTTTTTTAATTTAAAATTAAATT